TCTGCGCTACCTTGCCCTGGAAAGCAAAGAGAGAGGCCTCCAGGTGAGTCTCAGAGCAGGAGGAAGAGCTGGCAGCGCACCTGCGCCCGGCAGCCGCCTTTTCTCAGGCCACCTCCCCACACGCCATTCGTCCCCCGTTTGCACCTCGTGCGTGTTCCCCAACTGAAACAACCCACCACAACGGGCCCCTCAGAACAGATGGGAAACAACGCAAAGCCAGTCTCAAGACTTAAAATTGCTGAGAGAAAGATCAAGACAGTCCTGTCAACCTGTTCCTTGAAAGGCTACAGAAGGTCTCTTTAAACGCAGCTCCCGTCTCAAGCCGCCTCCGTTAATGGCACTCAGAGAATTGCGGGACTTAAAAATTGGGGCACACAAGTCAGTGTCTCCAATCGCCTTTGGATATTTCTGCCTTTACCTTGCTGCCTCTACATTTTGTGTGTTTCTGTCTCTACATTTTACAGGCTCCTCTCCTAAGAGTCAGGACGATACACAAGAGCAACGGTGCCCCCGCTGAAAGCTGCCTGCACTCCTTGTGTCCAAAGGGATCTGAAAATAGCCAAAATAATTCAAAAACCCTGGAAGACGGAAAGGCCGGTCGTCGGGAAGAGCCCCACCACGCAGGCCAGGCTGCTGCGGGTGCCAGCTGTGTAAAACTGCAAGGGCACCGAAGTGACTTAGGGACCGTTTTTCACACTTATGACCATCACGGCCTCCCCGTGGCCAAGTGATCAAAAGTCAGACACTTGGCAGCTCTCACATTTACGACAGTCACAGCGTCCCAGAGGGGTCACGTCATCCCCTTTTGTGACCTTCTGACAAGCGGTCAGTGGGGGAAGTTTAATGTGTTATTAACTTAACAACTGCAGTGATTCATTTACCAACTGTGGCAAGAAAGGCTGCAAAATGGGGTCAAATTCATTTAACAACTGGGCTCAATTGTGGTCGTAAGCCGAGGACTGTCTTTTACTTCCATTTTCATAGTGTAAAGTCTGATGCGAGCCAGGTGGGAATCTCTCTCTCACACACACACTGAGTTGGAGTCCACAAGTCTTCAAGTTGTCAAGATTGGACACCCCTGATCTAAGTGGAATCAAATCTTCCAAGATTCAGCACCATTTTCACTCCAAAAGGTGCTTTTTCTTTGAAGACGTTTCACTTCTCATCCCAGAAGCTTCTTCAGTTCTGCCTGAATGGTGGAGGGTGGACATTCCTTGCAGTCCTCCGGGCCTTAGCCCTCTCTCTGAGAGTTGTTGAAGCCCCTTGGGGGTTTATCTGGGCCCTCGGGGTCACCTGAGTGATGCAAATGGTGTCAAAGGGGTGTGGAACCCAGGTTAACTTCCAGGTGGCCTCAATGACTCTCAGAGAGAGTATTAATGACCAGGGATGTAAATCCTTCCATTCTCCACCATTCAGGCAGAACCGAAGAAGCTTCTTGGATGAGAAGCGAAACTTCTGCAAGGAAAAAAACCAAGAAAGTCCAGTTGCCTTTTGGAAAAGCGCGTTGGGGGCAACCAGGACCCTGGAGGACAGAGAATCTCCACAGGTATCTTCGTTCTGTCTTCAGAGTCCAGTCGCAGGTATTTTTGGAGGCAAGAAACCTGGGCAGAAGGCAGACAGTGACTGATGCGGATGAGCAGCTTCTCTGGAGGTGGCACCAGGAGCCCCTCTGCTCCTCCACGTGCCGCGTCTTGCCTGGAGGAACGTGATCAGCTGAACTCTCCCTGTTGCTCACTACAGATAAATCTTTCTTTCGTGATTAATTGTGAAGCCTTGGGGGAAATTATGGGGAGGGAGAGGCAGCTGCCAAGGAAAACCATCCAGGCCGGGAATCCAAAGAGAGAACACAGAAAGCAAGTGCAGGAGAGATAAAAAAAACTGGGTGAGGCTGATTACATTCCTATAAAAAAAAAGACGGGAATTCCTATTTTTCCTGTGGTTAAAAACAGCAGAGTGGAGAGAGAGAGAGAATAATGAGAACGAGAATGAGAATAGAAATAGAAAGAGTGCAGAGAAGAGCAACAAAGATGATTAGGGGACTGGAGGCTAAAACATAAAACGAACGGCTGCTGGAATTGGGGATGTCTAGTTTAACGAAGAGAAGGACGAGGGGGGACATGATAGCAGCCTTCCAGTATCTCAGGGGCTGCCCCAAAGAAGAGGGAGTCAAGCTGTTCTCCAGAGCAACCGAAGGCAGGACAAGAAGCAACGGATGGAAACCAATCAAGGAGAGAAGCAACCTAGAACTAAGAAGGAATTTCCTGACAGGTAGAACAATTCATCAGTGGAACAACCTGCCTCCAGAAGCGGTGAATGCTCCGACACTGGAAGTTTTTAAGAAGAGACTGGATAGCCATTTGTCCGAAATGGTATAGGGTTTCCTGCCTGAGCAGGGGGTTGGACTAGATGACCTCCAAGGTCCCTTCCAACTTTATTATTATTATTATTATTATGAGACTGGACAGCCATTTGTCCAAAATGGTATAGGGTTTCCTGCCTGAGCAGGGGGTTGGACTAGATGACCTCCAAGGTCCCTTCCAACTTTATTATTATTATTATTATTATTATTATTATTATTATTATTATTATTATTATTATTATTATTATTATTAGAATAAGAATAAGAATTGGAACGAGAACAAGGAACAAGTCTACTGAAGCCAAAACTGGAGGCCGGAGCTACGAAGGAGAAGAGAGGATGGCCAGACCCCGGAGAATGACCTTGGGAGTGTCCTGTGAAAGATGGAGAGTCCACAGCTTCCATTGGGAGCTCACTTTCATTTAGAAAACCTGCCTTTCAAGGGAGCAGCCATGTCGGTATTCGTGCGGTTAAAAACCCCAAAGCCATCGTGGGTCACCTTGGAGACTCATCATCACCAAAATGCTGGGGCCCCCTCAGTCCACCTCTTCAGGTCTACGGGTCGAAATCTTGAGAAGAGGAGGCTTCCGGTTTCTGCAGCCCAAACTACGCCAAGGCCAGTCGATCTACTATTCTAGGCACGAGGTCAGCCGGAAGCTTCCAAGTCAGGAGCAGCTCCCAAAGGCGGAATCGTGAATCAGAAAAATGCTGAAACGGTCGAAGGAGCGCAACCTAGAACTAAGGAGAAATTGGCTGACGGGGAGAGCAATGAAGCAGCATAAGTAACGTCTCGCCTCCCGAAGTCGTAGTTGCTCCAATGCTGAAGGTTTTTAAGAAGAGACTGGACAGCCATTTGTCTGATATGCTTTAGGACAGCGGTTCTCAACCTGTGGGTCGGGACCCCATTTGGGGTCGATCGACCATTTCACGGGGGTCGCCAAGCAAGGCTGTCCGCCATTTTTTTCCCCTTTTCCGGCGGGTGCCTTACCTCCCTTGGGCTGGGCCAGCTGGTGGTCGGCCTGCTCCGTCTCTGCCGCTTGCCAGCTACGCCTCGGCCGGCGCAGGGGGCG